GCTAGGCTTACCGCACCGTGACGTCACTGCTGGAAGATGGCAGGAGGGAGGGGCTACTATATTTGGGCAAAAATGGCCGCTCCCAGACTCAATGATCACGATGAAAATTATTTTTATTTTTTTACTGATTAACCCTAAATTCATTAAATCGCAGCAAATGTATTACTTTTAGTTATAGATAATGATCCATTGATTATTCCTTACTGACCGGAGTTTTTCTATAACATATGTGTGACCTTGAATGAAATTCAGTTGTAATCTGCAGGGTTTATTGTGATGCTGATCCCCTTTTTGCCACCATAACAGCTTCAGCTCTTCGAGGTTTATACAGCAAGTGATTAATGGAAATATTTTAAACATCAATATTTGTACTAAAATATTCTGTCATGATTTGTGGACATTAAGATGTAAAGAGAAGCGCCATCTCCTGGTCAGACCCTGTAATTCAGTGAAGGGGTGGAGTCAAGAGTAAAAAAATATGCACACATGAAGAAGGCCATTGGCTGGAAGTTGGAGGGGATTTTGTTGGGAGTCGCAGATAGTGGGCTGCCGTTCGGCTACTGTATTGTGACCATATATAAGATGCCATTTATGAGTTTGACTTGAAATTTCTGTATTAATCCCATTGCTTATTTTAATGCAATTTCAATGCAATGTTGTATTCGTAAGAATATTTTTTTTGTTAGGTTGTATAGCATTTTCTATAATGATTTATCGTTTCTAAAAATTTTACTTTTTTATATGTCTCTCTATTTGTACCTTACTTTAAGCCAAAATGAAGTGAATGTTTGATGAGTGAAGTACAGCTTCCTGTGTCAGGAGGGTTTAACCTGAGGCACATTTCAATTAGCCACTCATCAAATTAGAAAGAAAACATTTCAGGCAGATTGTGTTGATCTGTAGAATATGGATGGGAATTAGCTCACACACTTGTTCTTCACATTTATCAGAAATGTTTTATCCTTGTTGGACGCTAGTCAGGGCCATTCTCTATAGAATATGAAAGAGTTTTGTTTAAAAAAAAATTTCACCTGTTACAAGTAAGGCTGTGTTAGCACCAGTGATGGGAGTAACGGCGTTGAAAGTAACGGCGTTACTAACGCAGTTACCTTTTTTAGTAACGAGTAATCAAAATGATTACTCTTACTGTAACTATAACGCAGTTACAACTGCCGACACCCCGTTACTGCGCGTTACTCAGGTCGCACAATTAACCTTTTTTCATGATAGGACTCGTGCGCGCCTTGTCATGAGGGAGGGGAGGATGGAGAGTGAGGAGGACTCCAGCAGCAAAACAGCGTTTTCCAGATGGAAATACCGGTGTTAGTGTATGTCGAGCTGCGTTTCCGCACAGCGCGGCGGCACGATTCACCGCACAAGCGACAGGAAACGCACGTTCTCGCTAAATGCGCTTAACAGCTGCCCTGTGCTCGCACCACAGGGGAACTACGGAGAGCGTGAACGATCATTAGCCTATATGGAGAAAGGGATGGAT